CCTGTCGCCGAACCCTCTGCACCTCCTGACACCGGGTCTTCAGCTACTCCTGACGCCGGGCCCTCGACACCTCCTGACGCTGGGCCCTCATAACCTCCCGAAGCCAAGCCCTCAACGCCTCCTGACGCCGGGCCTCCAGCACCCCCTGACGCCTGGCCTACAAAACCTCCAATCACCGCATTCCACGGCTCGTCCAGCCGCCACACCACTGTACCCACCAACGTTGTGCCACAACACCCACGGACGCCAACCTACAGCACCCACAGACTGCAACCAACCAGCTGCGGCCCCAGCCGCCCACTACTCCCATTCCCCTCCTACAATTGGACACCGATGAACTCCGACATGGCATAACGGACTCTCCCCATCTTCACGTCCTGACTGAAACCTCCCTCCTCTCCGACCCGACCAGCACTCTGCTCACCCTAGCATGCCACCTGCACTCCTCCTCCTCGTTCTCCTCTCCTCCATTCCCAAACTTGCCTCCCTCCACCCCCCTACTCCCCCAAAACAGCTCTACATTGCACCCTCAGTTCTTCCTTCCCCACTCTACGGCTCTCACCACCTCCTCCTGATACTCCACTCCCCCGTCGACCCACAAGCCACCACCAACAGACCCACACGCTCCTGCACATCCTGTTCCAATGCTACCTTCCTCACCCTCCTCCTTCTCCTAACCGCCGGAGACATCTCCCCAAACCCTGGCCCCCCTTCTCCCCACTCCCCCTCTCGGCACCCCCCTACTCCCGCCAGCCACCGCAACCCCCTCAACCTCGTATCTGTCCCCCTCCTCCCCGCATCCACCCCTCCTCTCTCGGTTGCACTCCTGAACGCCCGCTCGGTTTGCAACAAGCTCACCGCCATCCACGACTTCTTTGTCTCCCACTCCCTCAACCTCGTAGCGGTCACTGAAACCTGGATCCAAGCCACTGACTCCACCTCCCCTGCAGCCCTCTCCTACGGAGGCCTCGTCTGGACCCACTCACCCAGACTGAGCGGCTGCAGAGGCAGTGGAGTCGGTATGCTCCTGCCCCCGCTGAGCACCTTCCAGGTTCTCCCTAACCCCCCCTCCCTATCCTTCTCCTCCTTCGAGGCCCACTGCATCCGGCTCTTCTCTCACACCCCCCTGAGGATTGCGGTAATCTATCGGCCTCCTGGTTCCGCATCCCCCTTCCTTGACGACTTTGCCGCCTGGCTTCCCTTCTTCCTCTCCTCCGAGCTACCGACCATCATCCTAGGTGACTTCAATATCCTCATCAACGCCAACAACCCGGCTACTTCTCCTCCTAACCTCCTCCTTCGCGCTCACAGAGAACACACAGTCCTCTACCCACACCAATGGAAACACCCTGGACCTCGTTTTCTCCCACCTCTGCACCCCCCACGACTTCACTAACACCCCCTTCCCCCTCTCTGACCACCACCTCATCACATTCTCCATCTCCCCATCCATTAACTCCCCCCCCAAAAGAGTCTAACCATCACCCGCAGCCTCCGCAATCTGAACCTGACCCATCTCCACAAGGCAGCTGACCGTCTGTATGACAGTATCCTCCTTCTGTCATGCCCTGACCTGGCCACTACTGCATACAACGACTCACTGTCGGCTGCCCTCGACTCCCTGGCACCCCTAACCACACGTAACACCAGATCCCGACCACTTCAACACTGGCAAAACGACCGTACAGAAAGTCTCAAACGACACAGTCACGCGCTGGAGTGCTTATGGCACAAAACCAGATCCCCTCGTGCGTTCTCCCTCTACAAAGCCGCCTTCCTCACATACACCACCTCCCTCCACGCTGCCAGGCAAGCCTATTTCGTAACCCTTATCAACACCCTCTCCACCTGTCCTCGTCGGCTCTTCTCCACTTTCAATTCCCTGCTCTCTCCCCCCCACCTCCACTCAGCACCTCTCTCACCGCCCATGAGATTGCCAATCATTTCCAAAACAAGATTGACGCAATCCGTAAGGACATTGTCAACTCACAATCTACCTCTCCACCCAGCCTCCCGCCCTCCTACAACCCCTCTACCCTCCCCTCCTCCAACCTCATAGCCGCACTACCCCCCGCTATGCCTAACCCCCCGCACACTATCACCTCCCCAACACTCCGCTCCTTCAGCCCAACTACCCCCGAGGAGGTCTCTAAGGTCTTCACTGAAGCCCGCCTCACCACCTGCCCCCTGGACCCTATCCCCTCACAGCTCCTCCAGTCACCACCCCCTCCATCATTCGCTCCCTCACCCACATCTTCAATCTCTCCCTCTCCACTGGCACTTTCCCCTCTAAAGCACGCGCACATCACCCCGATACTCAAAAAACCCTCCCTTGACCCCACTGACCTTAACAACCTTAGACCCATCTCCCTGCTGCCATTCACTTCCAAACTCCTTGAGCGCCTGGCCTACAATCACCTAAGCTATTCTGTCCTCCTGCTCCTTGACCTCTCCGCGGCCTTCGACACTGTCGATTACCCTCTCCTCCTTACTAAACTGCACTCCCTTGGCATCAGGGACGCTGCTCTCTCCTGGTTCTCCTCCTACCTTTCCCAACGCTCCTTCAGCGTCACCTATAACACTGCCATCTCCCCCTCCCTCCCCCTCTCTGTCGGAGTCCCCCAAGGCTCTGTCCTCGGACCACCCCTCGTCTCCATCTACACCTCCTCCCTTGGCAAACTAATACACTCCCACGGCTTCAATTACCACCTCTATGCCGACGACACACAAATTTACCTCTCCACCCCCCACCTTACCCCCTCACTCTCTGCCCGCATCGCCCACCTCCTGAACGACATAGACTGGATGTCGCTCCATTTCCTCAAACTTAACCTGTCCAAAACAGAGCTCCTTGTCTTCCCCCCACCCCGCGCCCCCCCCATCCTCTCCATCGCTACTAACAACGCCACCATCACTCCCACCCCACATGCCAAAGTCCTGGGTGTCACCCTGGACTCACACCTCTCCTTCCTACCCCACGTCCAATTGCTATCAAGATCATGCAGGCTCCACCTCAGCAACATCTCCAAGATACGTACATTCCTCACCCCAGACACTACTAAACAACTCGTACACTCCCTCATCATCTCACGCCTGGACTATTGCAACTCCCTTCTCACTGGCCTACCCAAACGAATGCTATCCCCACTCCAGTCAATCCTGAACTCAGCGGCGAGACTCATCCACCTCACCAACCGCTCCACATCCGCTACCCCCCTCTGTCAATCCCTTCACTGGCTCCCGATTGCCCAGTGCATCAAATTCAAACTGCTAACCCTGACCTACAAAGCCATTCACAATGCTGCCCCAAACTACATTACCGACCTGATACCCAAATACTACCCTACCCGTGCCCTTCGCTCCTCACAGGACCTCCTACTCTCTAGCTCCCTCCCTGGATTCTCCAGGACTTCCCCCATCCTCTGGAATTCCCTACCCCAATCCATCAGACTGTCACCTACCCTCATCACCTTCAGGCGTACTGTCAGGAATGGACTTGCCAGTAATGGTGGGACTCACCTGCCTTGTGGGCTGCAGTACCAGGGCTGGCCAGCGGTTGCTCTCAGCAATCAGAGACTCAACCCTGCAGCCAGCCAAACACCTGAAGCTGATTATGCAGGTGTATTTAAGGGATGGCCAGACCTGCAGTCTGTGCCTTGGTGTGTGTTTTTTCCATGGGCCCCTGTATCTTGTAACCTGCGTTCCTGTTCCTGCCTGTCTCTGCCTGACTTGTTGCCGACCCGGTCTGATCCTGACCTCTGCTGACTTCTCCTGTTTTGATCCCTGGCTTGTGACCCTGACCACTCTCTCCGCCTGCTCCTCCTGTACCTACCTGCCCGTTAGTTATCGACCCGGCCTGCCTGATTACGTTGTGCTCTATATGTGTATGTACCTGTGTATCTGTATCAGTTTAGGTTTGGGTTTCTCTGAGGTGCAACCTTTGATTCAGGTTTGTGTAGAGTTGGCTTCATCTGGTACCCCTGAAAGCAGGAATGACTTTTTGCCACCATTTAGTGCAGACCAGGTAGAGTCCCTGGTATGGTTATTAGAGGATGATGTGGATTGCTTCTTGGAGCATTATGCTGCATGTTCACCACAGGTATTAAGGGATTGTATAAACGCAGTGCAGTCTTTGACCAGACAGGCTTTGTGTAAGCTGAGCTTTGTTCAACCCATACTGCAGACATGGTCAGACTTGTTGCACCCAGCCTCAGTCAGCTTACAACGTCATTCCTCCGCTCAAGGCACTCTTCCTACATCCCCGACAGCACCCCCAGTGATGGCCCAGTATACTCTAACTACCACATATCAGCCCTCTGCTCTCACTCGCTGCACCTATCCTGCCTTTAACCCTGTAAAGAAGTCCTCTGTAGCAACTGCTCCCTCCTCTGTTCCATCCTCCAGCTCTTGTCTGTCTTCAGCTGCTCCATCCGTTTACAAACCTGCACTTACTTACAGTGCTCCGGTAACTAAAACCAGAAAAAAGCGAAAATTCTTCCCAACCAGTACCATCCTGCCAGTATCCAAACCGGTGAGCCTGCCGTCTGAGAACCTGCCTTCCGTGGTTCAGCCTGGTGCCTCGGCACCCGCACTTCAGCCTGATGTCCCTACCCAGCCTGATGTCCCTACCCAGCCTGATGTCTGTACCCAGCCTGATGAACTGATCCAGCCTGATGATCCTATCACGCCTGATGATCCTATCACGCCTGATGACCCAGTGCCCAGCCCGCTGTCATGCCTGGTGACCCGATGCCCGCTGTCGAGCCAGACGATCCAACGCCAGATGACCCGGTGCCCGCTGTCGATCCAGACGATCCGGTACCTGATGACCCGGTGCCCGCTGTCGAGCCAGACGATCCAATGCCTGATGAGCCAGTGCCCGCTGTCATGCCTGGTGACCCAATGCCCGCTGTCGAGCCAGACGATCCGGTACCTGATGACCCGGTGCCCGCTGTCATACCTGGTGACCCGATGCCCGCTGTCGAGCCAGACAATCCAATGCCTGATGACCCAGTGCCCGCTGTCATGCCTGGTGACCCGATGCCCGCAGTCGAGCCAGATGATCCAATGCCTGATGACCCAGTGCCCGCTGTCATGCCTGGTGACCCGATGCCTGCTGTCGAGCCAGACGATCCAGAGCCAGACGATCCGGTACCTGATGACCCGGTGCCCGCTGTCGTGCCAATTGACTCAGAGCCCACTGTCGTGCCTGGTGACTCGGTGCCCACTGCCTTGCCAGATGACGCGGTGCCCGCTGGCGAGCCAAATGACCTGATGCCTGGTGACCCGATGCCCGTTGTCGTGCCTGATGACCCGGTGCCCGCCGCTCCGCCTGGGGGCCTGGTGCCAGCCGCCCCTCCTGGGGGTCCAGCGCCCGCCGCCCCTCCTGGGGGTCCGGCGCCTGCCGCTCCGCCTGGGGGCCCGACGCCCGTCGCCCCGCCTGGGGGCCCGATGCCTGTCGCCCCTCCTGGGGGCCCGGCACCCGCCGCTCCGCCTGGGGGCTCGGTGCCTGCCGCCCCTCCTGGGGGTCCGGCGCCCGCCGCTCCGCCTGGGGGCCCGGCTCCCGCCGCTCCGCCTGGGGGCCCGGCGCCCGCCGCCCCGCCTGGGGGCCCGATGCCTGTCGCTCCGCCTGGGGGCCCGATGCCTGTCGCCCCTCCTGGGGGCCCGGCGCCCGCCGCGCTCTGCCTGAGGGCCCGAAGCCCGCCGCTCCGCCTGGGGGCCCGAAGCCCGCCGCTCCGCCTGGGGGCCCGAAGCCCGCTGCTCCGCCTGGGGGCCCGGCGCCCGCCGCTCCTCCTGGTGGCCCGGTGCCTGCTGCTGGTGGCCGTCTGGTGGCCCGGTGCCTGCTGCTCCGCCTGGTGGCCCGGTGTCCACCGCTCCGCCTGGTGATCCGGTGTCCAGCCCGATGTGCCTATGCCCGGAGTCCAGCTCGATGTGCCTCTGCCCGGAATCCAGCTCGATGTGCCTCTGCCCGGAATCCAGCTCGATGTGCCTCTGCCCGGAGTCCTGCCCGATGTGCCGCTGCCCGGAGTCCTGCCGATGTGCCGCTGCCCGGAGTCCTGCCCGATGTGCCGCTGCCCGGAGTCCTGCCCGATGTGCCGCTGCCCGGAGTCCAGCCCGATGTGCCGCTGCCCGGAGTCCAGCCCGATGTGCCGCTGCCCGGAGTCCAGCCCGATGTTCCGCTGCCCGGAGTCCAGCCCAATGTGCCGCTGCCAGGAGTCCAGCCCGATGTGCCGCTGTCCGGAGTCCAGCTGATGTGCCGCTGCCCGGAGTCCTGCCCGATGTGCCAGTCTTTGATATCCCGCCAGTTACCAGACCCGGGCGGTGGAACATTTTGCCCAGCTAGGACTGTTTGGAGCGTCCTGAGGCCGCTCCTTGAGGGGGGGGAACTGTCAGGAATGGACTTGCCAGTAATGGTGGGACTCACCTGCCTTGTGGGCTGCAGTACCAGGGCTGGCCAGCGGTTGCTCTCAGCAATCAGAGACTCAACCCTGCAGCCAGCCAAACACCTGAAGCTGATTATGCAGGTGCATTTAAGGGATGGCCAGACCTGCAGTCTGTGCCTTGGTGTGTGTTTTTTTTCCACGGGCCCCTGTATCTTGTAACCTGCATTCCTGTTCCTGTTCCTGCCTCTGCCTGACTTGCTGCCGACCCGGTCTGATCCTGACCTCTGCTGACTTCTCCTGTTTTGATCCCTGGCTTGTGACCCTGACCACTCTCTCCGCCTGCTCCTCCTGTACCTACCTGCCCGTTAGTTATCGACCCGGCCTGCCTGATTACGTTGTGCTCTATATGTGTATGTACCTGTGTATCTGTATCAGTTTAGGTTTGGGTTTGTTTCACCTTGTTGTATGTATTTGTGTTAGCTTGGGGTTTGGTGCACTGCGTTTATATTTTTATTGTTAGTCTTTAATAAATTGTCTTATTGTTTATAACATATCTGAAGCCTGCGTTTCCCTGCGTCAGTTCACATACCTCTGGTCATACCCGGAGCCCTGACACGTACCCTGAAGACCCACCTCTTCAGGGAAGCCTACCCTGCCCTCACCTAACAGCTGACCTCCTCCACTCCTCCCACCACTTCATTCCCCACAGCCATTTCCTCCTGTACCACTTCCCCCCCCCCCCCCCCCTAGATTGTAAGCTCGAAAGAGCAGGGCCCTCGAACCCCTCGTGTATTGTATTGTTTCCGTCTTGTCTCATGTTCTGTCCCCCTTGCTATTGTACAGCGCTGAGCAAACCCTTTGGCACTATATAAATACTGTATAATAATAATAATAATCATTATTGCTTTGGTAAAATAAAGATGACCTATTTTGTGATTAACATTGTTCATTTGATTATATTTGTTTCTTGGTATTGATTTTGTAATGACAATACCCTAAGCTCTTCTTTCTTTGTTTTTTTCCCTTTGTATTAGGTTCATTTTGAAATCAGGGTTATGCTATTGTAACATTTCTTTTTGCTGAAGGTAATGTAGTATGGTGAGTCATATACCTCCCTTATGTTTAAATTCTAACTCAAGTAAAGTTGGCCATACACTGACCAAAATCTGGCCAGTTCAGCAGGACAGAACACATTATGATCATTGTGTGGCCATCCCTGTTTAACAGAAGTTGATTCGACTTCTGTTGAAAAGACATGCTGGAAAACATTTATCGATTAGGGGCTGCACTTGCTGATCAGCAGCAGAAGCCACTGTCAGAATACAATATCCCAGTGGGGAGGATTACTTCATCTGATACTGGCTGAACGAAAAAAAAAAACCTACCCGTTTATGGCTTACCTCAGCAAGGTGGTTGGTGCTGGGAAAACAAAGAAAGCAGAGCAATGGCAGCAATTTAGTAACTTTATTCAATCTAAAAAAGATCAATTTACATGTTAATTAGAGAATTCAAGCCACAACAATGAAGCAAGAGCATCAGCTCACTGGGTGCCACCTGTTGACAGGTGGAGGAGAGGAGAAAGATCCAGGATCCATAGGAAGCCACAATAGCAGAACCTCAACCAAAAAAGCCAGTATTTGAAAGCCGCCAGCATTAGCAGCACATCAGTTACTGAGGACCAGAGCTGGGAACCTATGGGAGAGAGGCAAAGCACACAGCATTCACTAAACTGTCAGCAGTGCAAGGAGACACAGGAGGAATGCATTTCCAGGCTTTTTAGCCCTTTCTCTAGCCTGTCTGCAGAGTACAGAGTGCCCAAAGCAATAGGGCATTGATCATCTTATGAATACAGCTACTTTGGATACATCAGTAATTGATGAATTTGCAAACCTGAGCCACAAATTTTTTGTTCTAGCAAATTCAAATTACTTTTGATGATAACCATTAAGAAGGTATGGGTGTCACAAGTTCATATTTATAATGCAATGGCAAACTGAATTATGCAGCGGTTGTCTTCTTGTAAAGCATGCCAGCAAACTAGAAAGCTGGCTTTTAACAGTTTATAAAAAAAACTGGAGATATTTTGGAAGAGTTTAAAAAATATGCAAACTGTAACAAAACTGATAAACTGTAGGAAAACGGAGAAGCTTGTAATTATATATACACATCTATTATAGTGGTATACCAATTCAGCACAATATTTACAATTCTTCACTATAATTGCAATAGAAGAGCTGTAACAAAACTGAATCATAGATTCTTTTTTTTTTGAACCAATTAATGGAATTCTTAAAAATGATAACAATGAAATTTGTCACATTGGCTCTAGTTTTTCTGTAAACGGAAATTTTCTACTATAGGCGTAATGACTACATAATGCACAATAATTATATAGATAGATGTCTTTCCACAAATATAAAGCAAGTGATAATTGACTACATAACAAAGCCTAAATGGCATAATATATTGCATAGGATTACCAAGAAAAATTATAGCATAAGCTAAGTTGAATCATTTTAAGACTTAGGATTCTCACTAGTTTTGGTCTTCAGTGGTTTTGTTTCGGTTTTGCTTCTCTTGGCTTTTACTACAATTGTATTCGAGGAAAGGGCTATCTCTTACAACTGCAAATATGGGACTACACGCTTCATTCCTCACTTGACTCAACCACGAAGGATTCTGGTGCTTTAGGAATTGGTAGCCCCTCTCCATGAGGGAACTGGACGTATTGCCGATGGAATATTTGGATAGTGCACAGATAACTTTTTCTTCTTATTTAGCCCTTTTACAATTGGCAGGCACCATACAAAAGTAACAATTACTAACATGATCTGTTGGCTCTCTCCAAATCATTGGCACAGCGAAAGGCATAAATGCCTTTTTTTTTACAATCAACCATTAACTCCCAGTGCCGTTCCCACAAGAATTGCAGCATATATGTGGTGCCCAGCTCTTTTCCCTGGTCTCCTATCTTGCAGCCAAAATACAAGTTGTAGGCTTTCGTTAATCATTCCTGTTATCCTCCTTTTTTGTGAGATAAAAGTTATTTCACCGCAGATATAGCAGAAATTATTGCTTTATTCACACAAGTTCGAGGCATTCACTGAGTAGCCTATAGAAGCATAAAACGAAATGTAAAGACGCTGTCCAATCAATCAGCTACAGATACTGCAGCTTTTATGCAGTGAAGTGATGCAATTAAAGGCTAATATTGCATCATCTCAGTATACATGCAATTTTCTATTGGTCCACAGTATCAATTGCGCAATATGCAGCTGAAGTTGCATCATAATTTTGAATGGCTTACGTCATTAGATGGGTGAATATATCATGGAATTTTTTAGGGTCATTTTCGTTTTCAGCAATTATGTAAGATTAGCTAATTTTATGCCCAAAACTTTTTACCTGTTGAACAGTGTAATTGCAATAGAAGAGCTGTAACAAAACTGAATCATAGATTCTGAACCAATTAATGGAATCTTAAAATGATAAAATATAGGGAGGGGAATACGGCAAACATTAAACCCCAGAAGGTTTTTAAACATATTATGTGGTAGCTAAACTTGACAGTTTCCTTGTAATGGGCTCTTCCTGTTCAGCTAGCTTGGATTGCCTCTGGCATTGTGTTTTGTCACAGTAAGAAAAAATAGCTCAGTAGTGCTTGGGGCACAAAAGCCATTTTGCTATAACTGAAGCTGGAATCCACATTATAATTGAAGGACTCAGTAAGGGTAATGTATTATTTGGGCCATACTGAAGATACATAGTTGGTGATGAGCCATTGTAGGGAAAATACTTTAAATCATTTGTAACTATATGGTAGGACATAGGTAACATATGGTTCATAAAGTAAAGTTTGTAGGAGTGTTCATAATTCCAGCAGATCTTCTAATGTGCTGTATGGGATTAGTCATTTTGCCCAAGTAGATCTCTGAGTTCTTCCTGGAAGATTCTTCCCACCGTTTTGTTGGACCCAGTGTATGAAACTTTTATACCTATTTGTATATTTAATGTGCATTTTATGGCCAATGTAATTATTTCTACTAGAGTTTATTAGAATAACACTCAAAATGTTTTGTATTGGATGGGGACACTGGTTCCAGCGCCTTATATCTTCAGAAGTATCACAGTATGGAGGAGCAGTTTTAACCCACATATAGAAGCCTAGACCCTACGTAGAAACAAAAATTCAAATGCTGTTGGAACTAGACCAACGAAATGCTAGATATTATGAATTTTTTAATTTTTTTCATAAAAACCTCAGTGGGAGG